TAAGAAATTTTTGTTGTTCCCCTTGAGTTGTTCTTGAGTTTCTGAGTACCTTTTTATGGTGCTCCCTTTCCTTGATGCCTTATGCATGTGATTATTAATCCATTTTCAACAAACCCTCTTTTTCTTAGGTAAACAGCATACTTATGCTTTACCATAATCCGATCTAGCGCAATAATATTAATGTGAATTTGGGTAGAGTTTCAGCAGACATTTGTGTAGTATTAAGGAATTCCGTTTTTATGAGTGCAATAAATTGACTTACTGTTTTTTTATACCAGCATGCCAAAATCATAGATATTGTAATACTATAATAACATATCTATGGTCAAAAAGCCCCCCTTCCTACAGAATAACATTTTACTAGTTACTAACTCAGAAGTCAAACAACAAAAATCAGCGTTATATTTACAAAATTTTCACAGGACTAGTTTCGATGGTTTTACCGAACCACCATCCTCAGCTGCAAAACCGTAAATGAACAAGATAGGAAATAATTCATTTGCGGTTTTGCAGCTGAGGATGGTGGTCGGTAAAACCATCGAAACTAGTCCTGTGAAATTTTGTAAATATAACGCTGATTTTTGTTGTTTGACTTCTGAATTAGTATTTATTCGGCGTGTTATTGTGTCTTAATTTTACTACTTAGTTATATTTACTAGAATCATCTCTTTTCATTCTCTTTTTTTTCCATATTTGGCCCAGAAGCAAGAAATCTTTTCGCACTTTTTCTCGAAATTGTGTGGGTAATTTGTTAATTAATATTTTCCCATTTAATTATATTCTAGATGCTCATTAATTATCATTGTGGATTATTACAGGCCTTTTTTTTTTTTTTTTTTTAAGTTTGCATTCTGTGTCGATGTCAATGAAAGGGGGTTTTAATCCCCCCCTGTTGGTTGTTTGTGGAGCGTGTGCGTGTGTTTGTATCTGTTTTTCATACTAAACACCTAAGCGGTAGTAGATTATTTTCTGTGTGTTTTGGATAGGAGGTCTTTTAATTTTTTTTTTTTTTATGGGCGATCTTTGGCCAAGAATCACTATGTAAGAATGCTATTTCAATAATATTTAATTTGTGTGTGATTTTAATTGTTTTTGCTTAGAACCACTTAGTGCCTTTCTCAGTATTCGAAATCTATGACCAGAATGCTTTTTGAGATTTATTGGTCATATAGCGTCCAAGAGTGAACATTTCCCTATAATGTAAGAAAGTAATCCTTATTTTCATGTTTGTAAACCCATCATAATTGCTTTATTCTCTGTACTGAGTAATGTCTGTTTTCTTTGATTTTTTTGTACTGTTTCGCTTTTGAATTTTGTGTATGAAATTGTTTTAACTTCTGTCTTTTTAACGAACAAATGCACGTATCTGGTACAAAAGTCTGAAAAATTCCAAGCATATTTGAAGTGAAGTAGGCTAATACTTCATTTTGTCTACGTTTAATCTTCATTATTATTTTTCTGAGAGGAAATACTGAAGTATCGTAGTTCTGTTTACTTGCCGCCTTCTTGGAGTGCGAGCGTATATTGGAAGTAATTTAAAGATATTTAACTAGAGTATGAGTAATTTATGTTATTTTTCGAGAGGTTTATATTATTTATTTTAATTTTAATGTGCATAATTTTACAAATGTGTATAGAAAAATACTGTAGAACTGAATTTCACAGCTAACCTGTGATATAACATGAAGTAGGAAGAGTTTGTCGCATATTTATGTATGTACACTTATACACACATGACAGTTATTAAGTTTTATGAGTAATATTATTGCTCTTAAAATTTAATAATTTGTAAAATATGAATAAGGATTTGAATATGAACCATCTCAGCTGTTTACTATGGCAAAGATTAGAAAAGTAGCAAAATTTTAATAAATTTTGTAATATTATAAAAGTTGCTGATTTCTCATATTTGAACTCTTTAAAGTATATGCAATAAATGCAGATAAAGTTAAACTTTATGATATGATTAGTGATTTTTTTATATTTTAATAAATTTGTTACTTTATATGAATAAAGAATGTAAAGTTATAATTTTGCATCAGTAACTGATAGTGCTTTGCTAAATCAGTGTAGCTTTGCATATTTATAGGTTTAAAAAAGCCTATCTCATAAAAAATTAATAATTGCCAACATTTTTATTAATTAGAGATTTAAAACAAATACAGAAAACATTTTTAAATCAACATTATGTTGTGTAATAAAAAGAAGATGTAGTCTGTAAAAATACTATGCAAGTATTATATAAGTAAGAGTATAAATTTTAATGCAAGATAAAGAATTGTTAGTTATAACTTTTTCCACAAATTGCTGCATAAATTTGTGTTTAGTGAGGTTGATTTAATTGTATACATAGCAGTTAATTCTTTGTTATTAGATCTGTTTCCTATTGTATTGATGTTTAGTATGTATAAGAGATGGAAATGTATTTGACTACATTATTTGTTAAAATTAAATTTACTTATTTGTGTGAAAATATAAAAACTAGCAAAGATTTCAAAAATCTAACCTTTAATGTATAGTTTAAAATTTTCATATTATTCCTAACATCTCCTTTATTTAAATGTAGTACAATATTAACTGAAAATAAAGAATTCAGATTCATTTTCAAGTTATTTAATAAATGTTAAAAATGTATCTTTTTCGATAATGAATTGAAGTTTTAGTTTATTATTAGTATAATTATATGCTGGACTATTTGTGAATTTTCTTTAATATTAGCTTATATGTAGTTTATATATATTGATGCAGTGTGACATGTGGATGGTTTTATTAACTCAATTTGATACACTGAATTCCTGATTATCAGTACTAATTCATGGATGGACTTATACACCTAATTTTGAGCTAGTGTAAAAAATTAAGTTTTCAGAAGTTTTGAGTGATTTGTGTGTAGCATGCTGTTTAAAATTGGGTTTAATAAAAATAATAACAAGATTAACATAATTTTCAGTTTTCTATTTGGCAAGAATTTTATGTATTCCTTTTACTTGCTGAAAGCCAGCTTAACATTTGTTCTGACAGTATCAAATGTGTATTTGCCCTCATATTCTTAACAGTTTATGTGTTCATGTTTTATTATCTTATTGTCATAGCTAAAAATGCAATAAATCTCTAGGTCAGCATGTCAGAACCATGTTTAAACAAATTGATAATTTTTATAGTTAGTTTATTTAAATTTAAGGTACTATTCCCTTTTGAGGGCCGTAAAAAAATTGTAGCGAAAATGTATGCGCAAAAGCGCCAAATCTAGCAAACGCGCCCACTTAACAGCGCCAAGTCTAGTATACGCGCTGATTTTTCGGATTGCGTGAGTTTATATAGTTCTATATTTCTTTCTTAAGACGCCACTAAAATACTAGTTTAATTTTTAATTCCTTTTTTGATATCCTATGGATTTAAAAATTTGGGAATTGCCTATGATGAGAAGTCTGCGATAGAATTTTGGGTAAAGTGCAGAATCACCCACTGCTTGGCACGTTTTTAAGAATTGCACATATTCGGTATCCATGTGCACTTCGACCTATTTTCATTTAAAAAAAATCCTAGAATTGCACAAAAATGGCACTGCGCACACCCTTGACATTATCTATGTGCACATCAACCTATTTTCATTAAAAAGTAAAAGGAAATTGACAAAAATCCAATTGTATTTACCCCTGTAAAAAGCGGCAAACCAATAAGTGAGCGATTCTGCACTTTACCAAGAATATTTTCAAAGAAAAGGCATCATTCATTATAGAAAATTACGTTTGAACAACCAACGAGATGAAATTATACTTTAGCGATAAGTCGGTAGCAAAATAGCGATCCAGGCATCCATTCAGTTATGTTTAGCAATTTTTATATAAATTATAATAATGATCTGAAATAGTTATTTACTCTTATGATTCCATTCAGTCATGTTTAGCCTTTTTCATATAAATTATAATAATAAAAAGGGTTGATCTTTACATTATGGTAACTTGGCGTTTTTTTGGCGAAAATTTGGCGACCAACTCTCCTACAGCAACCCTCTATTTTTTTTTCCCGCCGCCATTTTGTCTTCATGAAGTAAAGACATAGTTTTTTTCTTGTTATCTCCTGAACACTTCTTCCAACAATCTACTAGCCGAATTACACTTATGCTAGAAATTTTATCTAACAAAACTGCTTAATCATGACAAATATTCACTGCAAAATTGGGAAAAAGTGCACAATACCATACTCCTTACGCGTTTTTCAAAATAACACATACACATAAACCATGTAAACGCCGACTTATTTTTACTTAAAAAAACATCCCAGAATTGCACAAAAATGGCATTGCGCACACTCTTCACTATATCCATGTACACTGCTTTTTTCTCATAAATTAGAAAAATTTCACGAAAATACATGACAATTTTCTCAATCTTTAAACCCGGTAAAAAAAAAACATATGAAATTACCTGATCGCGAAAAAGTATTTACCCTTTCCAAATATGAACATTTCCACATATAAAATAAATAAAATATCCAAAAACTTTTACCTCTAAATCATCTATTACATTATACACGTCACCAACGAATTCATACCGCAAGCATTACAAATACTTAGTATCAAATATTTAAATTATTTCTATGCACGTTTACTTCGACTTAAACGTATAAAAAAATTCCTACAAACATAAAATTCACAAAATAACTATCATTTAATTAAAATATCACTAAACCATGTACAGGCCGACTTATTTTTACTTAAAAAAAATCCCAGAATTGCACAAAAATGGCATTGCGCACACTCTTCACTATATCCATGTACACTGCTTTTTTCTCATAAATTAGAAAAATTTCACGAAAATACATGACAATTTTCTCAATCTTTAAACCCGGTAAAAAGAACATATATGAAATTACCTGATCGCGAAAAAGTAATGAACATTTCCACATATAAAATAAATAAAATATCCAAAAACTTTTACCTCTAAATCATCTATTACATTATACACGTCACCAACGAATTCATACCGCAAGCATTACAAATACTTAGTGTCAGATATTTAAATTATTTCCATGCACGTTTACTTCAACTAAAACGTATACCAAATTCCTACAAACATAAAATTCACAAAATAACTATCATTTAATTAAAATATAATTAAATTCAAAAACTACTTAAAATATAAATGAGCACATACATTAAATTAATACATAATCATAAATACCCATTTCGAATTCACTTTAGTAACGGCCATGGGATCCAAAAATTCACGAACACTGTTTCACACAACAACAGAATAAAGCCAAATACAAATTTCCAGATTTTTCCCGATTTCCCCCCCCCTTTTCCGTTTAAAGAACCGTAATTCGTCCATTAATATCACATGACATATCCCATGATCTCTCATTTCCCTCACACAAAATAATGCGTAATCGGAACTGAGTACTGCTCACATTATTACCAAAGTGCCAGGTAGTAACTAACAGAAACCCTCTATTTTTTTTTCGCCTCCAAAATGTCGCCAAACTACCAGTTACCATATTGTAAAGATCAACCATAAAAAGTTTTATATGAAATTAACCATTCATCTAAATTAAAACATCAGTCTGAAATAGTTATTTACTATTATACTTCCTTTCTTGCCGCAATTATTAGGGTTGCCCCAATTATTATTGGCAGCATTGGCATTAACAATAGTTTGGCGATTTTTTACGGCCCTCGAAACGGAATAGTACCAAATTTAATAACAAAGAAAGAAAGCTCCAATAATTTTATACTCTTTGTTTAACCTTCCAGCATGTGCACTCAGCAATGTTACTTGAGCATGCATGCGTCATATGTTTTATGACAGATATTATTTTACCGTTTTTGGTGCGAAAAATGACAGAAGTTAATGAACATTAGTAATGAATTTGTTAAGAAATAAAAAATTAACCGTATTGGGTAAAAATATGTTTACGGGTGCTCCTTGGTGAAAGTTGATGGTACATGGATACTGAGTTTGTGCAATGGGTTAATCTTTGAATTATGGTAACTTGGCGAAAATTTGGCGACCAATTCTGCTAACGAAACACTCTATTTTTTTTTCGCCGCCATTTTGTCTTCACGAAGTAAAGACATGTTTCTTTTCTTTTTATTTACTGAATACTTTTTCCAACAATCTACTAGCCGAATTACACTTATGCTGGAAATTTTATGTAACAAAACTGCTTAATCATGACAAATATTAACTGCAAAATTGGGAAAAGTGCACAATCGCAAACTCCTTGCGCGTTTTTCAGAATAGCACATACCCATAAACCATTTACACGTCGACTTATTTTTACTTAAAAAAATCCAGAATTGCACAAAAATGGCATGCACACACTCTTAACTTTATCCATCTACACTGCTATTCTGATAAATTACAAAAATTTGCATGAAAATGCAAAAAAATTCTGTGAATCTTTAAACTTGTAAAGCACCTACAGTCAAAAGTCGTTAATCGGACTTGTCGGACTCGGTGATTCCGGATTATCGATTTTTCCGGATATAGATCATCAGCTTAAATCTGGTAAAATGGCATGCAGAAATTATAAAATTGAAAATACGAAAC